CCCCAAAACCCCAAAACCCCAAAACCCCATAAAGCAGTTGATTTTAACTTAAGATTTTTTAATCATAGTTATCAAATTCATCATATCATTTACCTGCTATACTCTCTAATTGGTATTGTTTTATTACTATCATTTTAACTAAGATTGTGGGAGGTGTGGGAGTACAAGAAATTAGGCGGATGCTTAAAGTTACCTGCACTCATCACATTTACAGAAGCATCTCTAGCTCCTGGTGAATTGAGAGTTCTGAGGACTGGATTACTAAAGGTGAATGATTCATTATTATGATTATCTAGAGGGATTCCATATTAAGATACAAATTGCTTGAAAGACTCTGATAGATTTAGAGTGTTCTAATTTTGCAAGCCTTAACTATTCATGAACGATTAGTTATGTCTAAGCAGATTTCTGCTAAGGTTAGACTTCAATCTCTCCAGTTTAAGGTCCATACTCCTTATTGGCTCTCCATTTGACATAATAGATCTGTTTAAACTCTCATATTTTTACCTGTGAGAATCTTGTATAGAACTTAGATTCACTCCTTGATTAATTGAGTTGGAGTTATACAAATTACTACTTACTATGGCACTATTATTGAAGTTTTAAAGGTTTTTGTCATTCTTCAAATTTACTCTGAGTTTGGTAACACTTGGCATACTATCTGCTCTAAGGGACTCATTTGTTGAACTAATAAGTTTTTCTCTTTTTTACTTGAAATTACTTATTCTATGCTTTTCTTAACTCCTCTATACCTTATCATTATTCTGAATGTTTTAAGAGTTAATTTATTCATCCTCCTGATCTGCTTCACTTTTCAAATCTTCCTCTATCGCTTTTTCAAGATCATCTTTGAGATCAAGATATGATTTAATATAGTCATTGACACAGATGTGCTGTCCATTCTACTAAAGCTTTTTAAGAAACACAAAATTCCTCTTTCTCTCTTGATATTCTCTTTCCTATTTCTTTTGCTATTGGATAAGTAATTTTGTTTCTTAACTCATATTTTATTACTACTTCTTCTGTTTGAATACATTTGATTTAACTTTAGGCAAACTTTATGACATTTTCATCGGATAATCTACACTTGCTTCATACTCTTAACCTATAATCCATTTAATATCCTTACTCTGAGTCTAAGACTCTCCATTGATTTGAGGGAGTTATTATGTATTAGTCTTTGAAAACCCATTATTTCTATTTGTTTTTCATGGGCTTTGTTATTATTACTCAATAAGGAATAGAGCTTTAAGTTCGCGTACTTATGCAGTTTCTGTTTTAAGCTTATCCTTGATATGCTTATATTATATAGTCTTTAGGCATCTATGATTAATTTGCCAGCTTTCATAAGGCTTAAGCAGGTCTGATACTTCTAATTTATCCTTTCCCTTGTATAATAGATCCATTACTTTCCCATATTAGTCCAAGCCATCAATTATACTTGGATGTAAATCCTTTTTAATATCATCATAGACCTTATATTCTCCTACACCCCTTCTTTCAAACAATCTTGCCTTAAGTTAATCATAAGTGATCCTGTTATCTCTAAAATCTAAATACAAATCTTTTTGCGATTCCTTGAGAATCTCCTCTACTTATAGCAAAGTCTCTTGAACTTGAGAGCCTTTGCCATCTATTCTTAGACAATTAGGATGAATCGCTTTAGCAATCCTCCTTAGAATTTCGTCCTGGTTTATTAGATACTAAAAATGCTCATAACTCATCATAGATAGATCAGTTTTCATAAGCAATGAAACCCACTCCTCTATTTCTAGCTTGGACTTTTATTAAAATTCCTTAGCACTCATCCTCTCTAGAGAGCTTTGCTATTAATTATTTTTTTTCTTATGAGGAATACTTTCAAGTTACATTTAAAACTTGCCTACAATATGCTCTAGACGTTTTTCCTCCTCTCTTTTTTATCTCTATGCCCTCTTCTTGTTTTCTCTGCTCTGTCGTCTTTGTTCCTTGATCTTTGTAGTCAATTTCAATAGCATTGAACCTTGGATAAGTTTGGCTGCTTCTCCAGCCTTATAAGATTATCGGATTTCACTCTTGCTTTTAGTATCACCTCTATCTTACAATATTTCACTATCACCATTGATTAACTTTCTATTGACAAATTTAGCTTAACCTCAATGTATTGTATCTTCATAGTTAGAATTCACACCTAATTTTACTTTGTTGATCCTTTCAATAAGGGATTATTTAAGCTTATCTTGAATGTGAATAAAACTACTATTATCTATGTTTGTGCGGATAGATTCCTAAATATTTGATCTACCTAAGCTGCTGCTTGAGAGAATTGAATCTTGACTATCATAGTTTTGAGTATATTAGGATGAAAGGTTTTTCTTTGTAGGTTAAGCCTTTAAAAAGGATCTCAATATTTCTATTTGTGAAAACTTATCTTTTAGTACTGGGAGTGAATTTTCTTTTTGATATTTAAGGATATTATCAAGAGAATTTTAAGCAATCTCTTTTTTAATAGCATCTATCATTTTATTTATATTTAATCATGAAATTAAGATAATATTTTAATCATATACTATAAACTCACATCCATAATATCTATTCCACTATTAATACCTAATACTAAGCCTATATAGATTTCTCAGATGAATCTCTCGATAGATATTTCTCAAAGGATTGTATTAAGTTGCTGCTAGTTTTGCTACTTTCTAACATTAATGATAGGATCTAAATTCACCCCTGGATAATCTTTGTTTTCTGATCTAAGTTTGGCTCTCTTATGAACTCTTTTTTCAGATAACTCTTTCTCTAGCTAAAGCTATTTGTCTCTCAAAATTGCATCAATCTAGTCCACGTGATGGTAAATAGGGGCCAACTTGTTTTATTCTGCAATTGATAAGGTCTTAAGTTAGCTCTTATGAGTAAAAGTATAATCTAAAGCTAAGGTTTCAGGATAAGATTCAGTAACTTCAGTTGTCACAACATTAGAATTATTATTTGGATTGTTTTTAATTAAGAATTGATTGAAAGCATTTATTGGCTTCTTGTGCGATCCATAATTTGACAATAGTGAGTTTATCTTATTATTATTACCCGGCGAGATTTTACCAGTATTCATTTTTGATTTCATAGGCTTGGAAACTGATCTCTAGGGTTTATCTATGAGGTCAACGGTTAGAGATTCATGAGGTACATTGTCTGATATGACTGATGGCGAAGTATTATCCAGTAGTTATTTGTCAAATTAAGAGTCATTAATTGATTTTTCCTAAGTGTAGTTTATTTTGTATGGCTGTTAATGCTTGAGGGGCACTCTATGTTTGTACTATGGAACGAGCTCACTATCTTGCTCTAATGCTTATCTGATAAGTTAAAGTCTTTATTTGAATACGCTATATCCACCTCCACCGGTATTATTCCTCTCTGTATTGATATGCAAAGATGCATCATTAAGTGTTCTATTATTATTCTTTCTACTATGGCTATACTTTCTATTAAAGAGATTCGTAACTTTCATTCCATCGTTAAGTTGATCATTAGGATTACCGAATGAAAACTTTGCTTATTGGAGTAATACACTTGGAAGCTCAGTTTTACTGTGGTTAGTAGAATGCTGATTAGGAGTTATTGAACTATTTGGCAATCCATCAATGTCATCTTAAGTAGAAACATTTAGCAATGTTCCTGGACTAGCTGTGTAGCTAAGCGAGGTATCATGATTATATTTAGCAAATTATGTTTCAACTGCAAATACAAACTTCTTAATAATTTCTTTGGTAAATTAGAATTCAGCCATTCTTTCACTTTCATTCTCAAACAGTTAAGCCTCTATAGAAAATAATCTAGCCTCTGCTAGTTGAGCTGGCTTCATAACATTCATTTTCCAATTTTCAAAAGTCTTTTCAATCTCTTCTACACTTTTGGAACTCCTATTTACCATTTTTTCAGTCTTCTCAAAAAACCCACTGCAAACATCTTTCATCTTTGTAATTCTATGCTTGTTCTTTTTTGTTAGTTCTTCTCTAAAAGATTTAACTTCATTCAAAGTAGATTCAGAGAGCTAAGTTATTGCATGTACTTCGTTTTCAACATGCTGAGTCAAATTGTCATGCTTCATTTCAAATAGATCATGAATATCTTACTTATTTCTATCTATTTCCTTTCTAGTAGAAGAAAAATTCTGATTCATCTCTGTCATTGCTTCTGCTATTTTAAGTTCAAATTTATGCGATTGATCCGACATCGCTTTCTTTTAAATATCTCTGTTCTTCTATATCTTTTCTAAAAGCTCATCACATCTGCTGTTAATCATTTCTTAGAAAATCAGATTTTCATCATGTAAATCCTTGTTCTTTTGAATCTTAATGTTACACTCTTTGATTTTTTCTAGAATATCATGATTTCTCTTTCCTTGATCATCTTCAGACTTTTTATTTGCTTTTCTTATTGAATCTATATTCTCATTTACCTCTTAGAATTTGTAGTACATCCTCTATTCTATTTCTTTTTTCCAATCATGAAGCTCCTCAACAGTTTTTTATAAGTCTTTCATATCTATCTCTGCACATTGAATTCTTTTGTTTGTCATTGATTTAGTCAAAGCAAAACTAATCAGAGTTCTAAGTTGAAGAATTGAGAATGCTCTGGGTTCCTAATGATATTCTTTTTCACAATAAAATCCATTAGTGTCTCCTGAATCGAATTCACTCTCAAAATCTACAAATTGAGAATCATAAAATGCATTAAAATATACCAATCGAGCTAGATTCAAAATACTTAGATAAATTTTCATTGACTTAATTGACTTATAACTGCTTAAGCCAGACAAATTAATCCTGTGTCTGTAGAATGAGCTTGTTTAAATTATCGCATCTAAGTTGAATCTCATTGTGCTCATTCTGATTAATGTCCATAATCTCATTCAAATCAGAGTCACGTTTCTATGATTAATGTGGTAAAGACTGAAGGTAATTACCTTGAAATTGTTAAAGACATCTTGACGCAGATCTAATGTTGTCTCCTCTAAACTTCTCATTTTGCAGTGACCGATAAGTGCTCTCAGATGATTATTCAGATGCAAAATATATTGAGGCACTAGAGAGGGAATATTTGACCATTCCTCTGTCTCAAATTGATAGTTGACATACTCTAAAGGATTTTATACTTTCTCATTGAGTTTAGCTCTGATCAGTTCTTCTAGTGATTAATCGTGAAGCATTTTTTTATTAAGCTAATTAAAAAAATTTTATTATTAAATGAATAAAACATTAAATTTACAGAACTAAAAGTTTTATCCAGAGGGACTGGATAAAATAAACATTATTTTCAACACTGTCATTGCTGTGTCTTTCTTGTTCTAAGTCACTTATCTCTTCTTGCCGAGGTTCTTTTAGAGGTAAATCGAGAATTTTGACAGATACAGCAATAAAAGCAGTGTATTCGGAATTACTTTTTCTGGTCTGCTGTCTTTTGTATTCATGTTTTTGATGTGCCTATTTCTTCTATAAGAAAGTTCTTTTGTAATGAAGAAGAATGTAGAGATAAGAGAGAGTAGCTAGGAAATGCACTTCAGACATAGAAATTAGTGGACAATTCAATCGTATTTCTATTAGTCTTGTATAGCTGCCATTATATGGCTTGGCAACAATATAATCCTGAAATACAATCACAAAATACACAAAATAGAATTAAGCCTTAAAGAGATTTTTCAAGAAGCTATAATAAATTAAAATTGAATAATTCGTGGCCTAACTACAACAATCACTATCATATCTATCAGCATTCAGAAAATAAGATTTTATATATAATTGAAGTCCAACTTCCTAACGCATTTTCTACACTAATTTCTAGTTAGTGGGGTTTTGGGGTTTTGGGGTTTTGGGG